GAGCCATCAAATAGAAAATCAGACTCCTTTTGCCACACCCATCTGTCATATCCTCTCTTTCAGGATTTGTTAATAGTTCTTTCTTGTGTTTAATATTATATTATTTATAACCAATAGAAAGCTAAGGTTTTCATCTATCAAATGGCATATATTAAATTGTTTTCTGAACACAGAACTGACAATTTCTCTTCTGGTAGAAGCTTCATTCCCACTGGAAAGATATCGACTCTTGTTGCAAAGTTAGAAAGCACAAGATTGTGATAGTTATGGGACATTGTCTGCTTTTTGCATGTTATTATTCTATGTTGTTTCGTGTATTATTTAATTAAATAAAAATTATTTAGTGCATTACTATCATTAGTATAAAAAAGTAGGGTTAAGTACTTTATTTCTTGTTTTTCATGTATATTCTTTATTATTATAAAAGTAACTAAAATGTAAAAACAGGAATCTCCTTAAGTTAGTTAAAGTTAGATTAGGTAAAATAAATAATAATAATACAATAAAAATAATTCGCGAGCATCTCAGAGTAGCTCATGGATAATGTAATTCAATAGCATTATGCAAGCTTCACGTTCTACAAGTGCTTTACATCTAATGACATAAACAGTAGTTAAACACCCTTCAAAAAGCAATAAAACAATAAATTTACATATAAGTAGATGTATACTGTTACGAGTTTTAAGCTACTTAAGATAAACTAATGTAGTTTCATGTTACATTTGAAGTCATTCCAGAAAGAAAAAAGGGTAATTTAGTTTTGTTTTTTTGGGTGGTTACAATATCGGTCAGTTTGGCCAACCTTGTATAGAGTTTAGATAAAGAAAATAACAGATAAAATAGAAAGTTCTACTGAAAACAAACATTTGAAATGTACCTTGGAGGTTTGAGAAATTATGCAAATGGAATTTGAAATTTTTGAGATGAAGAAAAGTATTTTTTATCTTAACATGAAAATCACTTTGCACTCAGACTAGTCGAGAAAATGACTTGATTCATTTATGGAAATTTTTTTTTTAGTTCATTAAAAATGCTTCACTAAAGAATCTGAATTTTTGTGAAAGACTTGTAATGTTTACAGAAAGTCTGCCAAATTTTGTGAAGATATACATAAAAGTTAGTAGTATCAAAACTATAATGACTTTAAATGAGTACAAAGTGGTCACATGGTCGTCAGTTTGACC